AATGAAGAGAAGACAGTCTCAATGTGACACCGGCATGAAAACAAATAACTTGTAGATGTAGATACTTCATAAGCAACTTCTATAGCCAGAGTAGGAGTAAAGATATAAAAAAAGGAGCCCCTTCTCCCACAAACCTCTGGCATGCAGTAAAATAAATAGACAAATAAATAAATGAGCAAATAAATAAAATCTAAGTAAAAGGGCCTTACTTGATATTTTGCTCGATGAATTTGAGAATTCAAGATTTACTCCCCTGCTCAAAGGTGATAAAACTTGGGTGTGTGGTAGATCAGAAACAGCAAGGTATATGAGTGACCCTGACTCACTCTTCTGATTTCTAATGACTCACAGCAACTTTTGATATCTGTAAGGAAGAATCTTTTAAGTTAAGGTGATAGAATAGTCAAGGTAGCACCTGATTGGAAGGAGTTAAAAAAGCAGAGACTTCTTCAAGCAGAGATGGTGGGAATTCAATTTGCTTGAGTGAAAGCCTAGAATGGGGAATGGAAATAATAAATAAGAGATAAAAAGTAATGATAGTTTACTTGGATGTAGCATATGAAGGAGAATAACACTAGATAACAGTTTTGCTGTTATTCCAGAAAACATTCCACTGCTGGAGTACAACATGGGGGTTTCTCCTACAGGGTAACCCATGGATTTTCCTACCATTCCCCCACCCCCTTCCCCACAGCAGCAAATAAGTAAAGGAAATGTTAGGTAGTAGAAAGAGTTCTATACACCAGGTTCTAGTGTGACTTTGTGCCACTCATTTCCCTATTCTGTGACTCAGTTTCTTCATCTCTAAATGAGATAATTGGGTTAGATGACTTCTCAGGTACCATTAAGCTTTCAAGTTCTATTATATGAATTAGTTTATCATCTTTGAAGGATGGACAAATGCTGATCTTGTCTATTTAAAAACCTCACTGAACCCTACTTAAATACCAGAAGCTAAGAGCAGGCAAAGAAAACAAAATCTACTAGGTGAATTAGCTGAATGCTAAGGTACCTTCCATGGGCAGCTAGGTGACACAGTGAATTGATTATCGGGCCTGCAGTCAGGAACGCTCATCTTACTGAGTTCAAATCAGGCACTTGCTAGCCATGTAATCCTGTTTGCCTCAGCTCCTCGTCTGTAAAATGAGGAGAAGGAAATGACAAAACCAAATAGGGTCATACAGGACAAAAAAAAAAAGAGTGAACAAGGTCCCATCCAGCTCTTAATCTCTGATCCTGTCTCTAATGTGGTTTGTAAAGAAAAGGGCACTGTATTATGTTTACCATATCCATCTCTGAAAGTATCACCCCTATCAGACAATGTGGTCTGTCCTTTGTTCTGGAAGAGGACCATGACTTCAGGAAGATGATGCCATGACTTGGAAATGGATTGGATTTGAGTGAGGGAGGGCTGTGCAAAGTCACCAGCCTCACTTTCTCCTCCAGAGTGATCTAGGTCCTATGGCCAGACATAGATCAGGATGACTGGAGTTGGCCCAGGATGTAGTGGGAGACCTTGGCCTTTTTTAAGCTGAGGTTTTTCTGAGTTCTCACTTAGACTGAGACAATGCCCAATCAATGATTAGGGCTGTTTAAGAAGTGAGTGGAGGGATGGCCCCTTTCATAAAAATTTTTTTAAAAAATCAAATTAGGAGGGGAAGACCCTCAGGGTTTCTGGCCAAAAGAGAACAATTACTATTTACATTCATTCTGAGCCTCTAGGGCCAAAAAAAAAATCATTAAGTGGTGCTTAGGCTGGGATCTATTGTTATCCAATCAATAAGAGCCAGAGTGAATTGGGTTTAATACACCATCTTTAAGAAAGAAGTATAGCCAGTAAACCCCAAGATATCAAGGTAGGTTTCAGCCATCAAAATTTACCTTCCTTTGGGTGGAGCACCCTCAGGTAAGGATCAGCTGAAACCTGACAATACCTTATCCCTGGTAGAACTCTGAAAATCCAATCCACTTTGCTAATTTAAATAGATTTCTTTCTTGTAAAATTGAACATTCTCCTGATAAGACTAGTTGTTTATAAACAAATTCCAGTGCAGGAGAGAAAAAGAAAACTAATCCCAAAAGCTTATTGATTGTTTACTTTCCTCAGCTGTTAAATGTGTAGTCTCTAACTGCAGGCAACACTCATCCACTCATTAATTTCAGTTGCTTAATTAAATCAATTGAAGGTTTCTAATTTCATCATGTCTTTATAAATGCTTAAGTACATTTATCAAGAAAGTAGAAGGTCGGGCTAGTTTGGTGGTGTTACCCCCCCCCCCCCGCCCTGAATTTAAAATGCAGGTGCTTTTTTGGGGGGGAGGGGGGTAATGCAATAACATCTCCTGCCCTATTATCAGCTAAGAATTAGGTGGCCAGATCTAATTAGCTTTTAAGCAGGTGTATAGTCCTTACAGTTGGCACAAACATTCCCCTCCAAAGTCTAGGACAAATTCACTTTATAGAAACCAAGAGAAAATAGGCTTAAGCTTGGAAATTAGATACAGCAAAGGGGGTAACTCATAGCACCTGGTGGCTGTCTCCCCTTTATGGGGTACTCATAGCATTCCCTTTAGTCATACTATAACTTTTCTGTCTGTTCTTTGTAGGACCCTGAATCTATTTTCATTATTGCATGGAGTCTGGTCTTCATTTTAGATTCAGACACAGCTATCAACCATTCAGGGGACACTTCTAGGTCATGAAGGATAAAGTCAAAATCCTCCTGTAAGCCCACTAAGCTGTTCAGGTCAACATGGGGAGTATAGGGGAGAAAAGATCAAAATTGATGCCAGGGGTTCTGCACCTCCTTTCCCACCCATCAAAGATTTAAGTGGAACCATCTCTCAGTTCCCCACTCTGACTCAACACTTGATCTGGATTTCAACTAGCTCAATGATTTTATTCAGGCCCCAGAGGAAATGATCAATTCCCTCAAGCCAATCCAAAGACACCTAGGGAAGTGATCAGGCATTGTTCAAACCTAGGGAACATGTGAGATGTGTTCTAATCTTTAAATGCATCAAATCATTATATCTTATCACTTTAAGTGGACTGCAGGCTATTTGATTGATTTATTCAATCAACTTCCCACCATTACAACATTAAATTTACTGACAAATCTCTTCCTCTGCCAATTGTTACGAATTCCATAAACTACATGAGCATCAAGTGTTGAATATCTTGACAGCTGGATGGCACAGAGAAGACAGAGTTGGTCTTTGGGTCAGGAAGACCTGAATTTAAATCCTGCTTCAGACAATTATTAGTTGAGTGTCCCTGTGCAAAGAAAGTTATTTAATCTGTCCACCTCAGTTTTCTCCTCTGAAAAATGGAGACCATAACACCTACCTCCCAAGGTTGTTGTGGGGAACAAATAAGAGAATATAGTTAAAGTACTTTGCAAATATTAAAATACTATATGAATGCTATTATTATTATTGTTGTTGTTCACAGAGTAGTAGTAGTGGTGGTAGTAGTAGTGGTAGCATCTAACAGCCATATGTCCTATATTAGAACAAGCAGCAAATTACGTTATAGCTTCTTTCGAAGAACAAGCTATCACGTCTAGGAACAAACTACTATGAAAGCCAAATCTCAAACTCAACATGCCAATAAACAGAGCTTGCTTTTCTCCCAAACTCATTCCTCACCCAAAATGTCCTATTTCTGTTGCTGGCCATCACCATGTATCTAGTCACTCAGATAAACAACCTTAGTATCATCCTCAGTCCTTCACTCATTCTCACCATCAAAATGGTTGCCAGGTCTCATCAATTCTACATTACTTCGGTCTTCTTCTCCACACTTACAAAGTTACCACCACCCTATTTCAGGCAATAGGCTCCTGATTGGCCTATTCCCTGTAAAGCCCTCAGCAATATTTATACCACCTACTTTACAGTCTTATACTACTCTTCATCAACTCTCTTCTGAGCAATTTGCCCACCAGTTATTCCTTATAAACAGCACTCCATCTCTCACCTCTGTTTTTGCACAAGCAGGGCTCCACCATTTCTGAAAGGGATTCACTTATCACCTTATTATCGCCTCACTCATCAAGTATTGAATTGAAACCACTGTCTTGATTTTCATATGTATCTAACTGCACCTAAAAAATTTATCTGGGAGAACAAAAAGAATAAAATGACAAACATCTCTAAACAATCTAATACAATAGTAATAGAGTTTAAAACACTAAAAAATCTACATGTTTCTGTATGCATGTGTATGTATGTGTGTTGTACACTCATGTACATATTGTGAGTTGTAGAGAAGGCTTTCAGAATCTAGAAGTTTCTACAGGAAAAATGCTTTATATTTTAAGGTGACAAAATGTTTTATCCAGTTCCTCATCTACTTAAAAGGAAGAGAAATTATAGGCCCAAAACTGTAGCACTATTCAAAGATGCTCTTGGTTTCCATTTTTGAAAAGTTTATTCCAGGAACATCCTTCCAGAACAGACAAGGGTTAACACCGTTAAGTGACTGACTTCTTTCTCTTGAGAAGTCCTGAGCCACTCTTATCCTCAATTTCTTGTTGTTCACTCTTCATCCCCAAGAGGACCGATGACATCAGGAGGGTGATGTCTTGACTTAGAAGTGAATTGGATTTAAGTGAGGCAGGGCTGTACAAAGTCACCAGCCTCACTCTCTCCTCCACAGTCAACAGGAATCTAATGACAAAACATAGGTCAGGACAACTGGCAATGGTGCTGGATGCAGTGGGAGACCTTGGCCTTTTTCCATCTTCAATTTAGAACAATGTTAGTCAACCCACTTATCCATCATTCCAATGGAAAGTTGTTGTTCAGTTGTTCTCCATTCATGTCCTACTCTTTGTGACTCCCTATGAGGTTTTCTTGGCAAAGATACTGGAGTGGTTTGCCATTTCCTTCTTCAGCTCTCATTTTACAGGTAAGGAAACTGAGGCAAACGAGGTTGTGACTTGCCCAGGGTCACACAGATATTAAGTGTCTGAGGCTAGATTTGAACTTTGGAAGATGAGTCTTCCTTACTCCAGGCACTCTATCCATTTTGCCACCTAGCTGAAAAGGGAGGTCAGTTAATTGGTTCTGCTAATGATACATTTAGATAGAAAAAATGGAGCCCAAACCCTCAAAAAGATCACATAAACATTATGAACATGTTCTCATAAACTGTTTTGCTCTAGGGATCATGTTAAAACACTAGTCTCCACCCTTACTCTCTAGTTTGTTTCCTGACAAGCTATTTTTTTGACCTGTGGAGAAACACACCCTTTGGAAAAACAAATACAACCAAGGGTTGATTAAGCACATCTAATACTAATACTGCTATAGCTGATCTTCAAGGCAAACAAAAATGAGACTCTAGAATACCTAACTGTCCCTGAGAAGCTTAAGTAGATTGGCCTAGACAGACTACAAGATATGGAAAAATAAAAACTTACAAATGAGATTGCCAAAACACTTTCTGCAATATTTGAAGAATCACAGAGAATGAGAGGAGCACTATAAGAACAGACTCCCCCCAAAAAAGAAAGAAGGCAGGGTCTTTAAACTATAAGCTAGTGAGCTTGATGCTCTACCTACCAGTGGAGGGGGTGCGGAACCCAACTAGAATGGAATATCAAAGACATGGAAGGGAAGACTCTTCAGTATCTAGAAAAAGAAATGGCAATCATTACTAACAAGTATGGGTTCAGTAAGATCAAGTTATATCAGAATAAGATTTTTTGTTTATAGATATTAAATTCACCTGAATTCAGTGAAATAGTTGATACCTTTGTTAGGTGGCTACAGTTAGTTGATTAATTTAGCAGACCACACCCATCCCAAAGTAATGATGAATAGATCAAGTTCAGCCATCAGGAAGGTCTGTAGTAGAACTCCACAAAGCTGTCCTATTCTGTTCAAGACTTTTATCAATGACTTGGATGGAGATGTAGACTGTAGACAACAGATTTACACATGGCATAAAGCTGAGATCAATAGCTAATAAGTTAGATGTTTAAATTAGCATCCATAAACAAAACCAGACTGGTTGGAACAATGGAACAAGTCCATCAAGTGGAAGCATAGTTGGAATTAATGTGTAAAGTCCTATAGTGGTACAGCTGACTTTTTCTTTTTTTAATCCAAGTTAAGGAGTGAAGAGGTATGACTGGAAAGCAGCTGACTAGGCAAAGACCTAGATTTCAAACTCAGGATCTTTTATTTTTGTTGCTTTGTTTTGGACCAGACCTTCGATTTCATTGGCATAGGGAATTCCCAGAGAAGAAACTTTACCAAAGACGACCAGCAGGTACTTTGCAATTTATATTCTTAGGGAGTTGACTAGTACATTGTGAAGTTAAATGAATTCCCTGTAGTTGCCACTGCTACTTAAACCCAAAACTTCCTGACTGAAGATGGCTCTCTATCAATTATGAAACATTGCCTCTCAATATCTACAGCTACCTCAACAGAAGTATAATACCAAATTGCCTGTTACCCATTGCATGCCTTTCCTGCATTAAAAAAGGGTTCCGCCTGACCCTCTTCCCACCTTAGCAAATGAAGCAGGAGGATACTAGTGTCTTCAAACTGGTTCCCTTTAATTATTTCTATCATATAGGGCATGAGGAGCAAGACTGTGGCTGTTAAGAAATAGAGGGCACTATAGTTGCATCCCTCCTACTTCCCCCTTTAATATTTCTGCCTTTAATCATACTCTCCCACTCTTCTTCCTTGGAGGGGGTAAGAGGAAGAGGAAGAACACATCAGGAATGTGCAGATGAAATCCTACCACAAAAGTGACATTTGGGGGTAGGTGATGATGGGGCAAGGACACTGTGACCATTTTCTGAGCTCTGCTTTGATTTGGGGGAAAAAAAACTGTCTTCTAGACACCAGAGTTAGGTGATTGTCCTTAATTCAGAACCGTAAGTAAAACAACTTCCTTTAGCTCAGAGACCATTTCATTTTAGTCTTTTTTTTTATATCCCAGTATATAGTAAATGCCTAATAAGTGCTTACTGAATCAATGTTCTACTGTACTGTATTCTGACATCATCAAACCATGTCTCAAATATTGTATCCAGTTCTGTCACTACATTTTAAAAAGGATATTAAATGACAAATTTAAGGGCATCTGGGTTGGCAAAAAGACTAGAGGCTACATCACATGAGAACAAAATTGAAGAACTAGAGATATTCAGACTGAGGAAGGGTTGTATGAATAGAAGTTACAGGGATTTGGTCTCAGGATGGGGAGGGAGAGAAGAACAAAGTTTCTAAAAAATGGAATGGATTATCAGAAGAAATAGTCATTTTTCCATCACTGGAGATATTCAAGCACAGATCAGGGGATTATTTGTCAGGGATATTATCAAGGGAATCCATGCATCAGGAGGAGCTGGATTAGGTGACTTTTTTTGTTTACCTTTCAATTCCAAGTTTTTATGATGTGACCTATCAAATTTTCAAATGCCCTGACCACCAAGAGATAAGTATTACACAAGCATTGATGTGTACTTCTGTTTCGAATTAACTACTGGAAGACTCCATCAATTCCTGGATGCAAAAGAATGACATAAAACACAGGCACACACCAAAACAATTGTTACCCCTAGTACAATTGTTTCCTTAATTTCAGGAAAGATCCATAAGAATGCCAAGTTTCTTTCTGTTCCCTTTATGAATGAGAAGAAAAAGCTGAAGAATGAGAATTTTTCTACAGTTCATCCATAAATACTTCCCTAATAAGACTGTTAATTAAGTGGTGCTTTCTGACATCTTTAAGCCCAAATCACTTCTTTCCTTTACAAACTTATTTAGCCCCATATTGGCCCTGAGCCACCCTGGGAGCAGGATGTAGCAGATGTTTCAAGAACATACACTAATGCTAAACACCTGGCAAGGACAGACCCTACTTCATCCAAACTGCAGGCAGAGGCCATCCAACAAAAAAAAAGACAACTGTGTGTGCAACTGAGAATCAAGCAGATGACCACACATCAATTTGTCAAAAGGGTGTGATTAGCCCCTCTCTTCCCACTCACTTTAAAAGAAGTGTTTTCTTCGGCAAGTCAAGACTGATGGAGGGAAAAGAGATCTTCTTGAATCACCAAGAGGGTCAAGATTTGTGATTTCACTGGCACAGGAAACTGCCTGGGTGAGAAACTTCCTCCTCCAATGCAGGTCAGCACTTTCTCTTTAACCTGAAGTTTAAAAGAGTAACTTGGGACACTGAAAAGTTAAATGACTTGCCCAGGATCACACAGCCATGTGCCAGAGGCTGAACTGGAATCCAGGTTTTCCTATCTTCAAGTCTAGCTCCCTTTCCATTACGCCACATTGCCTCTCTTGAAACATCAGTGGATTTTTCCAGAATGTTGTTGTACACATGTAAGAAAATCTCCTAAAGAATCCTGGATTATTAGGTTTTCCCAGGAGCTAGAGTCAAGTGAATGGGTCCCATTCATATAGCATCATTTTTTTCATTTCCTCTTACTTTTACCAACAATGCATTAAAATAACAATTTAAAGTTTTATAAACCACTTTAGAGGAATTCATGCATGGGGTTCGCAAAGAAGCATCGTGAGGTAAGGAATACAGGTATTATTATTCCCATTTTCCAGATGTGTGAATTGAAGCAGAGTTTCAGTGACTTGCACAGTAACACAAAGCTAATAAGTGTCTGAGGCAGGATTAGTCTTTGTGATTCCAAGCCCATCGCTCTCTCCTTGTTGCCTCTCCAGTCACTGCCACTACCAGCTCCTCCAAAAGTCATTCTGACTTCCTAGAGCATGATGAACGAAGCCACCCTGCTGACAAGCATAGCAGATATTATATACTTGACAGTTTTACTATAAACTTGTGCCCAATGCAAACCTTTTCAGAAAACCATGCACTCTTTCAGTTGCTAGTTAAATAATGGAAAATGGGTAGGCTCTTTAAATTTTCATTGGAAGGCTGTCTTCAGCTAACTGAAAGCTGAAGAGTTTGAGAGAAAGAATAATTCTGAATAGTTCAGCATGAAATTGTAGTACCTGGAGACAAAAGTGTAACTTGGTAGCATATTTATACTGGAGTATTTTGATAGGCATTTTTGATGAAACAAACCAATCTTTGATCATTTCTTTTTGGTAAATACTGGTGGAGAGATTGGCCAGACAAAAAGTTTGTCTTCTTTTATTCAAGAGTCTATTGGTCTCCCTAAGGGGTTCAGGTATGGCACCCCAATAGATTCATTAAGTCTGAATAGCACCTGAACAGGACAGGAGTTTTCTGAATAATCACAGATTCAGAATTGGAAGGGGCATTCAAGGTCATCTAGTTCATTTCCCTTCAATTTACAAAGGAAATTGAGTCCTAAAGAGATTAGTGACTTCCAAGGTCACAGAGACAAGACTTGAACTTGGGCTTATCTGACCCCTGGGTTCTTTCTACTTAGGTACCATCCATACTGGTAGACCATCGGTGGAGTAGATAGAAGGGGGAAAGAAAATTTTAATCATTTAGTAAGGAAGAGCAAGCCTCAGGTGTCCTAGCTATAACTGGAACCCCAATTGGAATACGTCAAATTGGAATACTCTCCTATGAGGAGAGCCTTGAAATTATATACTTTTTTTTAACTATATACTTCTAAGGGGGAAGGGAAAGGCCAAAAAGATACAGGGTGAGGGGAGGAGAAATCACATAAATAAGGAAATTAATAATTTAAGTAAATCCAAGAGACTTGAAATGGAGCCGGTAAATTTAAAAAGGAGAGATTTTGTGGAATAGACTAGCAATAAAGCAATGGAACAAAAAACATTTACAGCGATGAAGTGCTGATTTAAAAGAAAAGTAGGATTGGGGGGGGAAACAATGAGAAAGTAATAACTGGAAGAAAATACCAATCTAATAAACATAGACTTAAATGTGAATGGATTAAACAACTCAACAAAACAAAACAAAAGAAAAAGACAGAAGGGATAAGAAAGCATAATTCAATTTGATATCTACAAGAAACACATGTAAAAATGAAGGCAGAATAAAAATGAAAATGTGGGACACAATTTACCATTTATCAGATGATTCCAAGAAAAGTGTTGCAATTAGGATATATCAGACAAGGCAAAAATAAAATTTCACAGAGTTAAAAGAGACAAACCGGAGAACTACATGATGTTTAAACATTTCATAGACAACAAAACAAAATCAATGCCTAATGCATGTGCATGAATGGCATAGCATCCAAAACCGTAAAGGAAATGCTACCTAAATTGGAAAAAGGAATAGATAGTAATGCAATAACTACATAATACTTTGATGTCCTCTTAGAGCTGGAGAAATCTAAGAGAAATATAAACAAAGGTAAAAGTATAAACTGATTTGTTGAAGAAGTTAGACCTAAAATTTTTTGTTGCTATTCAGTAGATACATTAAAGAATATTCATATTTCTCTGCACCATATGGTATCTTTAAAAAAAAACAGACCAAGTGCTAGAACACAAAATTATAAATATGAAAAGGTAAAAATATTAAAGACTTCCTTTACAGACAAAAACACAATAAAAGTAATTAATACAAAGAGCATAAAAGATATAGACCTACAAGGAGATATAATAATGACATACTGAATAATGAACTTCTCAAAGAATAAATCATAGAAAAATGAACAATTATGTAAAAGAATGATAATGTTGTTACAACATATTAACATTTTTAGGGATTCAGCTAAATCAGCCTGTGTGGTCATAGATAGATAGATAGATAGATAGATAGATAGATAGATAGATAGATAGATAGATAGATAGATAGATAGATAGACAGACAGACAGACAGATATGAAAATATATATTAACAAAACAGAAAAACATGAAGAATAAACTCTGCACAATAATTTTTAAAATAGAGAAAAATAGGGAAGAATACAAAAATGCAAAAGAAGAAATCCTCAAAACTAGAGGAGAAATTTTAAAAAGACTACGGAATAATGAACAAAACTAAAAGCTGGTTCTCTGAAAATATTAACAAAAAAACTCTAACCCAATATTTAAGAGATGAAAATAATATTTCTAAAACACAAATTATCAGAATATATTAAGAACAATGATATGTTGGCAAATCCAAGAATTTAGAGGAAATTAATGATTATCTGCAAAAACACAAAATGTCCAAAATACCAGAACATAAAATAGAATTTATAAAAAACAACTCCTCAATCTCAGAAAGTAAAACTGGAAAATATCATAAAATAAGTATCAAAGGGAAGCAAAAACTAACTCTGGTCCAGAAGGATTTACAGATGGACTCTATAAAACTTGTAAACAGTAATTAATACTTATGCTTTGCAAATTATTCTTAATAATTCAGAAAATATTCTACCAAATTCTTTTTATGGAAGAAATATGGTCTTCATACCTAAACCACAGAGCAAAAGCATAGAAAGAACAATTCAATATCATTAATGAATATGAGTAAAAACCTATTAAATAAAATTCTACCTAAAAGATAACAGGCAAAAAGAGATATTCATTACAACCAAGATTAAGTTTTACCGGGGTTTGCAAGAAGAGTTCAACATTAGGAGCACAACATAAGCATATTAAAAACAAAGACAGCCAAAACCATATCACCACTTCAACAGATGCAGAAAGATCTTTTCACAAAATTACAACTCTTATTTATTTATGGTAAAAATCCTACAAAGCATAGGCATATAAAAGCCATTTTACTATTTTTAAATATATATATCTGAAATCAAAAGCTAGAATTATTTGCAACTCAATAAAACTAGAAAAATTTCCAGTAAGGAAAAGGGTAAAACAAGGATGCATTTTCTACCCATTATTATTTGGCATTGTTCCAGAAATGCTAGTGGTGGCAGTAAGATAAGAGAAAGACATTACTTTTCTGAAATTCACAAAGCACAAAAAAATTATGATTTCCATAAGCATTGTAGAACAGAAGGAAAGGACTATGTATGAGACTGAGAATCTCCATTTTATCCAGCTTGCTTTTATTTTGCAGTGTGTAATCAATTCAAAATGTAGATTCAAAGCAGCTCTTCTTGTCTATGATTTCTTCTGGTCTTCCATTATGGTTTGGGTTTTTTTTGGCAACTCTATTCTTATTCATCCCAGGTTTAAAAAAAAAGAAAAGCAAAGAAACCCTTATGACAAACATACAAAATAAGGCAAAACAAATTCCCACATTGACCATGTCTATTTCTGCATCTTGAATCAATCATATCTCCTCTGTCAGAAAGTCAGTAACACACTTCATCATTGGTCCTCTGGAAACATAATTGTTCATTGCAGTAATTAAGAGTTCTTAACTTTTTCAATATTGTAACAATGTGTCATTGTTATTGTATAAAATGTTCTGATTCTGCCCTGCATTCTTCCCAACTAATTTTTCCCAACTGTCTGTGAACCTGTCCAGCATCTCTTATAGCACAAAAATAACTCATTATATTAATATAATCATAATTTGTTCAATCATATGCCCAGATGATGGGCACACACTTAGTTTCCAGCTCCTTGCCACACACCCCCAAAAGAGTTCCTTGAAACATATAGGTCTTCATACTCTTTCCTTGATCTCTCTTGTATACTGGCCTAATAGTGATATCTCAATCACAGGGAGTGAGTTTAGTGATTTTTGAGGAATAGTTCCAAATTTGGGGGTTTTTTCCCCCAAAATGGTTAGACTAATTCACAGCTCCATCAATAGTCCACTGTTAAGTCCTCCTCTTCCACAGCCCTTCCAACATTTGCAAATCTAATGAGTATGAAGTGGCACCTCAGTAACTATAATTTGCATTTCTCTAATTATTAGGGGGGTTTTTTCCATATGGCTGATACCTTGGAATCAGCATTTATCTATTGGGAAATAAGCTGCCTTTCATAAATTTGAATCAGTTCTCCCTATATCTTGGATTTGAAACTCTTATCAGAAAAACTTGCTGTAAATATTTTTCCCACTTAACAGTTTCCCTTCCAATTTTACCTTCACTGGTTTAATTTGTGCAAAACCTTTTTAATTTTATCTAATCTAAATTGTCCATTTTATCTTCTGTGACCTTCTATATCCTTTGTTTGATCATAAACTCTACCCCTATACTTAGATATGAAAGGAAATATCTTCCTTGTTCCTCTGATTTGTTTATATGATATGACCTTTTTTTTTAATCTGTCATATCTATTTGGAGCATATCTTGTTCTGAGA